GTTGATTTTGTAGTGAACAGCACTTCGATCGGGTGTAAAATCATGCACAGAGTTTGAATGGCTTGTAAACAAGCTCAATCTGGCAGCAGTCATATCATCTGAAATTTTTATGAGCATTTCTACAGCAGGGAAGTTTAGGTCTATGCGTCTTGCATAAAGTAAAACGCGTTGCGTCCAGTCTAATGCCTCCTCGGGCACTCTCGTCACTCTCGTCGTCTGCGTCTCTTCCGGTCGCGCACTCTTTCTGGGAGGACGCGTTTTACTCCATGCGTTGCGCAAACAATGCATTGATGAAAACAAAGTATGAAACGTCGCTCACCTATGAACGAGTCATAGTGTAGTGATAATGGATGAAACATGACATTTGTGGTTTCTTCTATAATTGGTTGAGTGGCACAATGAAGAGCGATACGTAGATTGCGACAATCTCGTGTACGGAGTTGTTGACATGCCGTAAGCACAGTGCAAGAGTCGCATTCACGAAGGAAGACACTAAAGTAAAAACACAAAATCTTTTTCGCTCATATGTTTTTTTCTTGTTATGGTAATTTGTATCACCGACAAAAATATTGGGATAATGACAAAAAGGAAGTGAGAATAATGCCTCGAAAAAGTAGTGAAAAAATGGAACTTGAGTTACTTAGAGAAAGAAATAGACTAAAAATTTACAAAAACCGCGGAACTCTGGAGATCTGGAACGATTTCCGCCTCAAGCACCGCACGGACTACTGGTCCTCGCACGATACTTGAAAGCATATACAATTGGAATACTTTTACGTGGAATCGGTGACTGCAGGAAAAATTAGTTCTTTTATCCAAATATCTGGATTTTCGCTATTTATTGACTAGACACTCTTATAGTAGAAACTGTTTCCGCGCACAAGTACATTTGACGAAATATTGAAGTACTTGAACCAAAAAATAGATCATGCCCCAAAAAATTCACAGCACGATAGGACAAAATATAGGCTTTGTTCTCGATTCACACAACAACTCGTCAATTTTTCGACTTGTAAAAATGTAACTTTTTCACAAAATAGTCTCAAATTCTGCAGTTGTTTCGTTCGAGTACAAAATCATTGCATGTCTACAAATTGACATAATGCATTAATGAGGTAGTGCAAACCTAAATGAAAAGACTTTCATCCTCGAATAAACGAGCATTTTCTAACTAAGAGGATCATTCTGTATGCATTAGCATCAGAAACAAGAAGAGAAATGATTCAAGCCAACAGTCACACAAAAGTGAAAAAATCTGGAATTTATGCTGTATTTAAGTTGACGCATGCGTTCAAAAAACTCACCTCCCAGAACACGGAGCCAATAAAATCAAGCAATCAGTGCAGTCGTCTACCGTAATCGTAGAGGTATGGTCGAGAACGAGGAGGTTGCTGTTCTGAATAAGTGTTGAACATAAAGCTTTGCAAACTTTCAAACTATTGAATGAACCTTGCAGCTTTCGATTGCCATCGGCTGTCCGGCTACTCCACGACGAACTTCTGTGGCGTTAGTAAGATCATGAATACGGTATTTATCTATGTCCATTTCTGGACGTCGATCCCTATAAAGGGGCAAATAATGTACAAAAAATCTCTATTACTAGGAAAAAAGTCGATTGCTAGAATTAGGAGAAAAACTATTTAGTGTATTTTTATCAAAAAATGTACTTCCTTAATCTGTAAAAAATCTTACAGAAAGATTCAGAAATGAAGCAAATGCTGTAGATAAAAGAGCTCCTCAGCTATTATACGTCGCTTTCACAACTATTACAAAGTTTACATTGTTACCACGGATACGCTGACCCACTATTATCGAGCTCTCTTTTTTCCAAAAAAAAAACGTGTTAGAACGAAACTTGTTAGATGACAAATGTCAATGAAGTTGAAAAAGAAGAACACTTAGAATTCTTCTTGAATCATCGAAGGAAATTATGAGCAATAATCACACAAAAAAGCTACTAATTTAGGAAGAAGCTCAATAATTCACGACTTTTTTCTCAAAGATAATGTGAAATCGTGAGATTTTGTGAAATATCCAGAATTTTTGCAAGGTCTACTAATAATTGGGGTCAGACTCTTCAAATTTCTCATGTTACTATTATTTGAGACTTTCTTCGTCTTTGTCTATTGCTAAAGTTGTAAACCTATGTAAAACGCAGACAAATATGTTCAGCGGGTCCAAAAATTCATGCCGTTTTTAGACGTGTCCTCAAATCATCCAGAATAAAGATGGACAAACATTCTAAACTTTCTCTATGCAGAATCTCTTCCTCATTCCAGCAGTAAAGTTTTTGTTCGAATTTCTTCAATGTCTGCTTGAAAAACCGTCAGAATCTTTAACCCATGGTTTTTACCTACCTTAAGTCTTGCTATTCCTTAAAGCTTTCGTTTGGTCTTTGGGTATGCTTCAATAACAATTAGACAGAGTAAACCAAATACATTGTAAAGCCATTTTTTGGTATCGATAGCTGGCTTTTCAAATTTTTCAAAATCATCATTTTGATGCTACCAAATCTGATATTTGTGCATCCCAAACCTCGTAGAACATCAGAGGCAAATAGTTAGGGTGTCATTCGATGCAGCTTCTTCTTTTCTTCCTGATTTGTAAAGGTCTCAAGAAAAAAATTCCCGCAATTCTGTTTCTTTGATGGTCTTAGGCTGCACCCGAAAATCTCAAAAATCCATATTGCGAGGCGATAGAAACTCATTTGTGTGTTAGAAGAATTAGTGTTTAGTTATAATGTTTCTGGAAGTTTCAGTCTGCGAAGATCTCATAGTGTTTGAAGTATTTGTATATTTTACGGCTTCGCAAATGTGAAGACTTTTGGAAAACTTGTACTCAATTATACTGAAAAGCCAGCTATCGACGCCAAAAAACTGGATTTTGTAGCATTTTGTTTATTCTATCCAACTGTTATCAAAACTTTTCCGAAAGTCGAAAGAGAAACTCTAAAAAAT